AGGGAGCTGGGGTTGTTTAGTTTGGAGAAGAGGAGGCTGAGGGGAGACCTTATTGCTCTCTACAACTACCTGAAAGCAGGTTGTAGTGAGGTGGGGGTCAGTCTCTTCTCCCTGGTAACGAGTGATAGAATGAGAGGAAATGGCCTCAAGCTGCGCCAGGGGAGGTTTAGGTTAGATACTAGGAAAAACTTCTTCACTGAGAGGGTGGTCAAGCATTGGAACAGGCTGCCCAGGGAAGTGGTTGAGTCTCCATCCCTGGAGGTATTTAAAGAACGGATAGATAAGGTGCTTGAAGACATGGTATAAATGAACTTGGCAGTGCTAGGTTAACGGTTGGACTCAATGATCTTAAGGGTCTTTTCCAACCTTGACGATTCTATGATTCTATGATCTTTTTGGCTGCTCCAGTTGATGCACAGGACTAACATAAGAACTAGCAGAGGCAGAAAGCTGGCTGCAAATCCCCTTTTACAAGTACCAGGCAGAGCAACAGATCCAAACACACTTATTTATAAATTGCATTTGTTAGCCAGGCATGACTGAACAGAATTTCTTACATGCAAATGCATCTGCTTGCAAAGCTTCACATTAAATTACGGTTTAGGCATCTCTGCCAACAGCTGACAACAGAGGTCCACAGAGTGGCCAAGTGTCAACATTTCTGGAAGGTATAGCATGTAGATGTTAACATGGATCTTCAATAAGCTGCAAAAGCTCTTGGAAGTGGGACCAGGGGGCCCCTTTGGTTCCTGTCTACAAAATTCTCCAGTAATATGACACAGTCTTCTCATGTGTTATTGCATTTGAAATGGAAGGGAAACCTACCACACAGGCCACTCTGGACAGTTCATCCTCTCTCCAATGTAATCATCAAAGCACGTCTTTGAAATGGGTTATCATTTACCCAGAAATAATAAAAATCCAATAGTAGTAAACAGAGAGGAGGAGACGCCCCTGTGCCAAGACACAACTGCAAAATAGGCAACTACAACATAGGCAGAGGCATACCAAAGTCTGAACAATGGCGTGGTTTGTTGCGTTCATGTGGGCATTGAGGGGGAAAGAACACTCTCCATCGCAGTAAAATGCAGCATAGCCCTCCGGTGCAATAATCCAATCCTAAAACGACAACAAATAAACCCACTCAATTTTTTTTTTCTCACTCAGAAAATTTAAAACTGTATCAAACTAACTAAGACTTGTCCAATGAAAAAATGAACTTCAGAATGTGGCATGTTAAATTACATTTTGCGAAAAAAATAGAAGTATTTGCTTTGTTCATGCAAAACTCAGATGAAAATTAAATTAAACTTAAAAATCTGTACTGAATACCAACTAATGAGGCTGTAAGGGGACTTAAAGGACCAAATATGTTTGCCAGAATACTTTTCTTCCCAGACCAAAAATCTTGAGCACTTCTTGGTGCAACGAAAGTAATTAAAATGCATCCTCTTTCTTCAGCACACTCAATACCATTAATTGTATGATTGCGTGAGACGGAGGGTTGCTAGAGATTACCCGTTGGAATGTCACTGAATGATGCATTTTGAGTATTTCTAGCAACACAGCATGGGGAAAAGACCACAAGAGGGAAAGTATTTTAAAATGTTAATGAAAGCTATGTGTTTAGTTTGCTGAATTCCTCCTTTGCCAGGCAAAGGTAATGGAGGTGCTGTGGGAAGGGCAGAGAGGATCAAGTACCTGCTTCTTGGGGTTTGTTTCCTTTTATTTCATTTCACCCTGAGTTTCACTGATCAAATATTGTACAGTGTAGCTTTGGCTTTCCAAATGAAACTTTGAGTTCTTCAAGTATTTTTTGTGAAAAAAATAGATTTTATTTTCTCTGTGGCCACCTTGAATGACTGATCTGAGAGCCTTGCATGTCTTGGGACATATTGGAATTTACTGTTTCAAAAAATGAAAAAACTGTTGATACCTTGAAAAATCTGTGATCTACAAAGAGACAACTGCTCACTTGTTCAGTAGCTTGAGTTCAAGTCAATACCACAAGCCTGCTCTGTAGCCGTGGACAGGGTAATTATGCTCTGCAGACTTGCCCTGTGAGAATCTGAGCTAGATATGTAAAGGATGAGCTGTCACTAAAGAGATAGCACACTTTTTCTCCTCGTAGACTTGTTCTGCTTATGGAGAATTGTTTTAAAATAATTCAGAGAAGTGTGAAATGCACAGACAGCCATCTCTGAGTTCTTAGATACATATGCAATATGTCTAGGTTATAGGTTGCTGATGGCCTTCTTGTTCTTTCTCTATAGGGAGCTCCTTGCTTTCCAGAAAAAAAAACTAGGTTGATCTCTATTTTCTTTTCTCATAATGCCTTGCCTCTGTCTTTATGACCTTTTACTACAAGTATATTCTTTTTTTGTTACTGTATGGCAGGATGAGTTTTTCCCAGAAATTATATACATTTAGCTGTGCTAAATGTATTTATAACACATTAATGGTGTTATAAAGACCACTGAACAGTGATCCAAGCTCTAGTTCCCTACGGACCCTACCCCAGTGAAATCTCTGTGACCTGCAGTAGATAGCACTGAACGAGGGAGAATTCAAGTGCAAATTTCAAAAGTTCCATTGCTCAGTGTGGGGATTTTGGTTTCATTTGCTGCAGCTCTGTTTGTATCTTGAGTAATAGTTCAGACTTATCTTTATGTGAATGAATCCAGATTGTAAAGCCATTAATGTATGCAAAATCTTTGAGAGAACAGCAGCCAAAAAAGGTAAAGCGATAGTGATAGGGATTCATTACAAAATGCATTTAAAGAATTTGTCTCTCATCAGTGAAATACCAATTACCATGAAGAAAACAGACTGTAAGTAATGGGGGACTGTAAAATAGATTGTCCCAATTTGAACTGATAGGAAACAGCATTTATAATCATACCTGCCATCCTAAGTCTCGGAAACTCACGTAAAGTTCATGTTTCTTACATGCTTGCTTTTGCTCACTTGTGTTATAATCTACAGGAAGAAAATAATAATAATAAATTGTTTAGAAGCATTGCTGGAACCAATAAGATTTAGCTATTTTTGAGCTCCTGACCAAACTGTACAAAGGAAAGGAACAAGCATACTGTCATTTATATTCCTAGGGTTGGTTATAAAGGCAGTGTAAACCTGGAAATGCAGAATCAGCGGTGTCAGCCTGATACAATTTATGTACACAGACAAAACGATGCATTCAGCATTAGGGGAAACAGGTTTACAAGATGTCTGTTTGCTGGCTAGCTAGGTAACAACTGATAATATGCACACAGGTAATCAAAGGAGGACAAGTGACAGCCTGATCCAAGATACGGGGAAGTCATCTATATGTTGGCACAGGTTTAATTGCCAGGTAAAGAAAGTAGCCTAATTCAAAAGATAAATTAACAATGATAACAATTGTCCTGAAACAACAGAATTTCCAAAAGTCTATTATTTAAACATTAGCACATTTTGTACTCCTTCATTTTTTACCATAATTTCTGGAAATATTCACCACTTGATGATCTGTAGTTGGTAATACTAACGTAAACAAGTAAAGTAACAGATGCTTTTTAAAGGCCTGAATGTTTCTGCGCTGTCATAGATGTGTCAGGATAGGACGCTGAGAACCTTTCATACATGCTTCTGCAGGACAATCTTAATTCTGGAGAAAATGTAGCACTCGTTCCTTACTGCTACTGAGTAACAGGAAAGGAAGGGAACAGGGTCATGCCTTCACCACATTAGCACCCCAGAGTTGGTTTATAGTGCTATTCAAGTGATGCCATCAGTGAGGAATGCAATGGAGCATGGAGGACAGACTGTCTCCTCTGGTTCCATTTCAAGAATGCTTAAAGTGGCTTTTTTGGACCAAAATAACCATTCTGGCAGGAAAAAAAAAAGTTGGCTGAAATTCACAACAACAGCAAAACAAACAAGGAAGACACTGAAAAAGAAAAAATCTTCATTTTCAGGAATAGAATTTTTTTTAGGAACAGTTTTTTAACATTAAAAGACTTGAGGCTGGAATGGGAGGGTCTCTGTTGAAAAATTCCTGGAAAATTAAGAGAGAGGCCTTTTTCACATAAAATGAAAGGAAGGGAGTTCTGCAGTCTGTGAGATAACCCATTGTAATGCTTCACTATCCTTGCAGAAAACTTTCAAATAGCTGGCCTAAAGGACCTTTTCTGTGAATTTACCAACTGCTTCTTGTCATTTACCAATCTTGTCATTTACCAAATTTACCAACTGCTTCCTGTCCTGATCTGTGTTATCATTGCTTCTCTGGGTTCTCTTCAGTGTCTCTGTGTCTTTCTGAAGATGTGACGGCCAAACCTGAACACAGTGCCAAATAATGTAAAATAATGATTTCCTACGAGTTCCGGATTATTTTCTAGCATTATATCTCAGAACAGGAGTTTTGCAGCAAAACAACACTCTCAAATGATCAGCTTCAGATCCCTCTTTTATATACACCTGCCTAGTTGCCTTAGGATTATGTTGCATTTATGCAAATCAATGAAAAAAGAACAGGTGAGGGGTGAGCATGTAGATGAGAACTGCAACATGATGGGGCTGCAGCAACCATGATACGATGGAATTAAACAGTTCTGAGAGAATGAGCCTGTTCCAATGCTTGACAACACTTCCGGTGAAGAAATTTTCCTAATAGCCAATCTCAGCCTCCCCTGGCTCAACTTGAAGCCATTTCTTCTTGTCCTGTCACTTGTTACTTTTGTTACCTCCTTTCAGGTAGTTGTAGGGAGCGATAAGGTCTCCCCTCAGCCTCCTCTTCTCCAGGGTAAACAATGCCAGCTCCCTCAGCCGCTCCTCATAAGACTTTCATCTTCACCAGCTTTGTTGCCCTTCTTTGGACACGCTCCAGCACCTCAATGTCCTTCGTGTAGTGAGGGGCCCAAAACTGAACACAGTACTCAAGGTGCAGCCTCACCAGTGCCGAGTACAGGGAGCTGATCGCTTCCCTAGTCCTTCTGGCCATACTATTTTTGATACAAGCCAGGATGCCATTGGCCCTCTTGGCCACCTGGGCACACTGCTGGCTCATATTCAGCCAGCTGTTGACCGATACCCCCAGGTCCTTTTCCACAGGGCAGCTGTCCAGCCACTCTTCCCCAAGCCTGTAGTGTTTCCTGGGGTTGTTGTGACCCAAGTGCAGGACCCAGCACTGAGCCTTGTTGAATCTCATACAGTTGGCCTCGGCCCATCGATTCAGCCTGTCCGGATCCTTCCATAGAGCCTTCCTACCCTCCAGTGGATCAACATTCCCGCCCAACTTGGTGTCGCCTGCAAACTTACTGAGGGTGCACTCGATCCCCTCGTCCAGATCATTGGTCATAGAATTATAGAATCACAGAATAGTTTGGGTTGGAAGGGACCTTTGAAGGTCATCTACTCCAACCCCCCTGCAATGAGCTGGGACATCTTGAACGAGATCAGGTTGCTAGGTGTCCCTTCCAACCTGACCTTGAATGACAAACATATTAAATGAATTGATAAAGATATTAAACAGAACTGGCCCCAATACTGAGCCCTGGGGAACACCACTTGTGACCGGCCACCAACTGGATTTAACTCCATTCACCATAACTCTTTGGGCCCGGCCATCCAGCCAGTTTTTTACCCAGCGAAGACTACGCTTGTCAAAGCCATAATCACCCAGTTTCTCCAGGAGAATTCTGTGGGAAACCATGTCAAAGGCTTTACTGAAGTTCAGGTAGACAACTTCTCCAGCCTTTCCCTCATCCACTAAGCGGGTCACCTTGTCATGGAAGGAGATCAGGTTAGTCAAGCAGGACCTGCCTTTCATAAACCCATGCTGACTGGGCCCGGTCCCACAGTTGTCCTGTACATGCCGAGTGATGGCACTCAGGGTGATCTGCTCCATAGTCTTCCCCAGCACCAAGGTCAGACTGACAGGCCTGTAGTTTCCCGGATCCTCCTTCTGGCCCTTCTTGTAGATGAGCATCACATTTGCTAACCTCCAGTCAACTGGGACCTCTCCAGTTAGCCAGGACTGCTGATAGATGATGGAAAGTGGGTAGGTGAGCACTTCCACCAGCTCCCTCAGTACCCTTGGGTGGATCCCATCTGGCCCCATAGACTTGTGTGTGTCTAGGTGGTGTAGCAGGTTGCTAACCATTTCCCCTTGGATTATGGGGCTTCATTCTGCTCCCTGTCTCTGTCTTCCAGATCAGGGGGCTGAGTACCCTGAGAACAACTGGTCTGACTGTTAAAGACTGAGGCAAAGAAGGCATTAAGTACCTCAGCCTTTTCCTCATCCTTTGTCCAATAAAGGATGGAGATTCTCCTTAGCCCTCCTTTTGTTGCTCATGTATTTATAGAAACATTTTTTATTGTCTTTTATGGCAGTAGCCAGATTAAGTTCCAATTGGGCTTTGGCCCTTCTGCTTTTCTCCCTGCATAACCTCATGACATCCTTGTAGTCCTCCTGAGTTGCCTGCCCCTTCTTCCAAAGGTAGTGAACTCTCCTTTTTTTCCTGAGTTCCAGCCAAAGGTCTCTGTTCAGCAGAGCCAGGCCACTCTTCTCCGCTGGCTCATCTTTTGGCACATGGGGATGGCCTGCTCCTGTGCCTTTAAGATTTCCTTCTTGAAGCATGTCCAGCCTTCCTGGACTCCTTTGCCCTTCAGGACTGCCCCCCCCCAAGGGACTCTGTCAACCAGGCTCCTAAACAGACCAAAGTCTGCCCTCCGGAAGTCCAAGGTGGCAGTTCTGCTGACCCTCCTCCTTATTTCTCCAAGAATCAAAAACTATCATTTCATTATTGCTATGCCTAAGACAGCCTCCAACCATTACATCACCCCCAAGTCCTTCTCTGTTTGCAAACAACAGGTCCAGTGGGGCACCTTCCCTAATTGGTTCACTCACCAGCTGCGTCAGGAAGTTATCATCTGCCACACACTCCCGGAACCTCCAAGACTGTTTCCTCTCTGCTGTATTGTATTTCCAGCAGACATCTGGTAAGTTGAGGTCCCCCAAGAGAAGGAGGGCTAGCGATTGTGAGACTTCTCCCGGATGCTTATAGAATGTTTCATCTGCCTCTTCATCCTGGTTGGGTGGTTAGTCTGTAACAGATTCTCACCATAATATCTGCCTTGTTGGCCTTCCCCCTAATTCTTACCTGTAAACAGTCAACCCTGTCGTCACCATAGTTAAGCTCTAGACAATCAAAACATTTCCTAAGATACAGGGCTACCCCACCACCTCTCCTTCCTTGCCTATGCCTTCTGAAGAGTTTACAAAGGGATGACCAAGATCAACAACAGCATTGCAACCCTGGACTTCAGGAGAACAGATTTCAGCTTTTTCAGAGATCTTCTTCACATAATCTCAATGGGAGACTGGCCTGGAGGGCAAAGGAGACCAGGAGAGCTGGCTGATCTCCCAGGACAACCTCTGAGTGAAGCACAAGGTAAGTCCACTTTCATGTGCAGGTCAAGCAAGTATGGCACAAAGCCACTGTGGCTGAATAGGAAACTCTTGACTGAGCTCAAATTCAAATAGGAAGTAAAAGTAATGTGGAATTGGGATAAGTTACATAGAAATAACGTAAACACATTGCCTGAGCAATGCAGGGATGGATGTTAGGAAAGCCAAAGCTTAGCTGGAGTTGAAACTTGTGAGGGATGTGAAGGTCAACAAGAAGTACTTCTATAGGTTCATTCATCATAAAAAGAAAAACTAAGGAAAATACAGATTCACTGTTCAGTAGGGCAGAGGACGTAGTGACAAGGACTCAGAACAGGTTAAGATACTCAATAACTTCTTTGTCTTGTTTTTTACTTTCAAGATTTACCCTTAGGACTCCCAAGTCCCTGAGCCTAGTGACTGAAGCTCTACCCACAGTAAAAGAAACAGAGTTAGGAACGACTTAAGCAAATTGAAGATACACAAGTCCATGTGAGAAGGGTTGAATTTCAGGGTGGGGAATGAGCTGACCAACATCATTGCAAAG